GGAGGGGGCAGGACCCGGGGCAGTGGGGGCGGCGGGCACCCCAGGCAGAGCCGCTTCCACAGCCCCGAGCTCTGACTGAGGCTTGCACTTCTTGAAAATGGCAGAGAGCTGGTACCGGGCAATGGTGTGGAATTTGAGAACGAAAACCTAACAGGATGAGAAAGTGGCGGGGAGACAAAAATCATTCCTTTTCAACAGGTCAATCACCCTGTCAAAGACAGGACAAGAAGAGCTCTCTGGAACCCCTGAAGTCAGTCTGCTTTGTGTAAAAAAGGAGAGTGTGAGGTCTTCCCCCTCTGGTGACCACAGATACAGCACTGCCTCCACGGCACCTGTGAAGACTCTGCTCAGGAGAGCTGGGGACTGGCCAGAGAGGCAAGGCCTGGGCGCAAACCAGGACTACTCCAGGGTCTGTGAGACTGCCCGCTGGCTGCAGAAATCACATTCTACCCCTTATGCACACCCCCAACTGGGCACCCTGCCAGAGATGGTCACAGCTAATTGAGCACTTTACTATATGGACCTTGCTAGGTACTGTACTAAGAGGTCTCATGTGTTGCTTTGTCTCTCACAACCCTATGAGGCAGACACTGAGTATCCCTGGTTAGAAGAGAAGTTCACCAACCCATCCATGGACACTTGGCTAGTTAATGGGTGAACAGGGATTTAAACCTAAGTGATCGAATGTCTGGGATCACCCTTGGCAATCTGGTGGCCCCATAAACTTTCCAGTAAAGCAGTGGTACAAGTTCAGCATCGAGTGGGATTAAAGAACACAGGGACTCCTCCAGAGAGCCCGTACCTCCAGCATCCGCATCAGGACATCTCTCCCGTTGCCACTCTCCTGTTCACTCTTGGAGCGGATGCAGTCCACCAGGTTCAGCAGGAGCTTGCAGGACATGGTCTGGATGCTGCTGGGCAGGGACTCGTCATCAATGTTCTTCGCAAAGAGTTGGACGGCGAGGGAAAGGTCACTGAGGGGCAGGTGCTGACGAACGTGGTGCACGAGGTCAGCCAGAGTGCTGTAGGCAAGGGGCCTGTGGGCAGAAATCTCTGCTAGTGTGCATCTCAACATTCCCACAGGACCACATCTGCAAGCCACCCTTTCTACCACTACCTGCCCAGGAACACCACCACTGGGACAGCATATTTGGGGCACACTTTATAGGGTTCCAGTTTCCCCAGCTACACAACTGACACTCTAATCTTAGAGCTTAAATCTTTACTTTCCAAGTCCATGATGTTATAGAAACACTAGCCTGAGCACAAATAATTATAGGCTGGAACATGCACTGAATGGGTTTTGTTGCTCAAAGATAATAGTATCAATTAATATAGGGTGGGACAAAAATAGGTTTACAGTTGTGAGTATGCAAACCAGTCTATTCTTGAATTGACTTATTAATTACTGTATTATTTTCCATAAGAACAACTGTAAACCTACTTCTGCCCTACCAGGTATTGGGGCCATTTTATAGAGATACAACAATGTCTGGGTTATTAAGTGCTTTCACTCAAGAAACAATTGGACACCTGCCAGATATCAGTCTAGACACCAGGGATACCACAGTGACCAAATTAAATAGAGCTCCTGCCCTCAGGAAGCTTATTTACAGGAGGGGAAATACACAAGTAAATAAATAAAGTGTATAAGTTGAATAGTGCTTGGGAGATACGGAAACAACACTGTGCAAAAGACAGATGGGGGAACCACTCTAAGATAAGGTGCCCAGCAAAGTCCCATTGAGGTGACATTGACACTGAGACCTTTAAGACAAAAAGGGGCTTTAGGGCAAAAAGCCAGAAAAATTTCCAGATGGAGGAAACAGGAAAGACAAAGTCCTGAGTGGAGCAGCCCAGGGGCTGAGAGGCCAATGTGGCTGCAGGTGTTTGAATGGGGAGGGAAGAGCCAAATCCCATAGGAGTTGGGAGCCACAGTCAAGAATCTGGGTTTTGTCTTTGTCTAAGGGCAACAGAAAGCCACTGGAGGGTTTCCAGCAGGAGTGACAAGATCTAACATCCAACTCCAGGCAGGTTCAACCCCAAGTTATAAAGCATGTCTTACTAATTTACAACTTTTATATAGAGAATAGTGAACAGTCTACATCATATTCAAAGTGTTCTGCCTATTTTTAAAAGATCCATTGCACTTCCCTTATTAAAGACCAAAAAAATTACTAATGTTCATTAATTTTATGTTTTAAAGACAATTAAATGTTCATTTTCTCCTTGAGAAACAATAAACAGGACCACAGCTTCATTTATCTTGTAAAATGCACAAGAAATAAAAACTAGAAGGAAATACATCAAAATATTATATGTGTAACTTGAGCTCCTTGTGCAGGACCAAAAGGTTTCCTTTCCTTCTTTCTTCTTGATAGGTTATCAAATATTCTTATATAATGAAAAGATTCATTTAAAATCAAAATGACTATTCTGATTTTTCCCTTTAAGCTAAGGCACAAAAAGCAACTGAAGACATTTCAAAAAATTCCTGCAATTCTAAATTCAACGGAAGTGAGGGCCCAAGAGCCAATGTTTGTTGAAATGCTTGTAACATGAAGTGCCAGGATTCAACACCCCTCACGTTTAATTAGCCAGATAGCATAGGTTTAATCTCATACCTGAGAGTCTCTCGAGCAGTATATCCTGAACCAATTAGAATGGATTCATCAAACAGCTTGTCCATGCAAGGAATGAACTCTAGAACACAAATATCCATTGCACATATCACCAACTAAACCAATTATACATTATATAACAGTGCTTTCACAGTAGCCAATCCGTAGTCCATCAGCAATCCAGATTTTTAAAAGGGTGAAGAGAAAAGCACACACTGGCTTTCCTGAGCCACATAAGTCATCTGCTGTCAAAGACACAGCTGGAATCACATTCAGTGTCAGAATAAACTAAGAAAAGGTGAGCTTCATGTCCCCCCGTAGAGAGCTCGCCAATACTTCACCAGAGGCACATTCCTTCATCCTTAAAAGCTGCCACCATCAACCCAAACCTGTCTGGAAAAGGGTGCAGTATCTCCTAAATGTCCCTTTATACACTGCCCTGAAGTCATCCTTCTTAAACATTTTATGATTAGTCATTACGGAGAAATAAGAATATTTCTGCATATAAATTACAAAGGTCTAGGAAATTTTAGTGTTCTCAAAGAAATGGGCTTAGGGGTTCTAATTCCCTGGATGAAACTGACAGGGGCTCCTCTGTTCCTCCAGTCTTGCAGAGGGAACCATCACCAACCCTCCTCCCCTGCAGGCCTCAAGACCTAACAGTACTAGAAAGAGCTGGTCTCCACTCAGGGACAATTCACATTTCAGAGGATGTGCAGACAGGGTGGCAACCTGCATTTTCTAGGCCTCTTTTCCATATGCCCCTTGGGGAACTCTGGCCACAAACATCCAAAGAACGTTTAGACTCTGGAACAAGCCTGACATTGTGGTCAGCTTCAATAAGTCAATAAAGTACATTCTTCACCAGCAAAGAGCTACTGAGAGTCAAAGATATAAAATATATACATTGGAGAAACACAATGCACGTCTCTGGTTAACAAAGCACAGCAACACAGGGAAAAGTGCCAAATGAAAGAAGCAACAGGCAGTCCTCTCCAAGGTTAGGGGAGGGAATATCCCTGGACTGTCCTCAGTGAAGTGGCCAAGAGGAAGGAGGCACAGAAGGAAAGATGCAAAGGGCACAGACACAAATGCTGGAGGGCTGGCTAGGGGATAAATTCAAGGAGAAAGGATAAAAAATTTAGTGGTACTGCCCTAGACGGTTTGCTCAGTGGTTAGAGCGTTGCCCCTTGGACTGAAAGGTCCCAGGTTCAATTCTGGTCAAGGGCACATAACTTGGTGGCAGGCTCTATCCCCCACCCAGTCGGCGCATGTGCAAGAGACAACCAATGTATCTCTCACATTGATGTTTCTCTCCCGCCCTCTCTCTCTCACTCTACCTTCCACTCTCTTTGAAAAAGCAATGGAAAAAATATACTTGAGTAAGGATTTTTAAAAAAAAATTTAAGTGGTAGAGCACTGGTTTCTAGATGCCCGAGAACCAGAATCTCTAGGGAAATGGGTAACTTTGTTAAACCATCTGGTTTTCTCAAACTACTGATCTTCAGATTTAGAGCAAATGTGCTATCATTTGATATCGTCTGAGATGCCAAAAAAGGCTACGTGAAAACGTTAGTGGATGTGTAAACATCAATGTGAGAGAGACACATCGACTGGTTGCCTCCTGCACGCACCCCAACCAGTGCCAGGGATAGAACCTGCAACTCAAGTATGTGCCCTTGACAGGGAATAGAACCTGCAACCCTCCGGTGTGCAGCCAACGCTCTAACCACTTGGCCACACCAGCCAGGGCTGGATGTGTAAATTTTAACTATGTGCATACATTTTTTTCATTTTACAATAATGTTAATATTTAACATGATTCTTTCAATGCTTGTTTCAATAAAAACTTTTTTGAGATGTGATGCTATCACCTATTTAACTCCAGGAGCTACTATGGGATTCAAAATAAAGTGTCCTAAAAGCTGAATTCATCAAGTCTAATGTGATCAACCCCTGGAGAGCAGCATCTTGGAAACCCACTAATCTTTGTGGAACAGGTTCCATAAGACTGAAACCAAGCAGTAGGGCCTCAGAGAACCTGGTTGTGCTTGATGGAAAGCATAAGAATAGTTTAAATCCATCAGCACTCCAACAAGTAGAAACCTCTTGCTACAGAGCACCCCATATGCACCTCCAAAACCCTATTACTTAAATGGCAGGAATATGGAAAGTTATTGTGAGAATGGTACTTAAGGCACAACCCAGTAACTTCAGTAGATTTAAAACGTTCCTTTTAAAATTCTTCTATTTTGTCCAGCTGGGCACGGCTCAGTGGTTGAGCATGGATCTAGGATGCAAGAGATCGCAGTTCGATTCCCGATCAGGGCACATGCCTGGGTTGCGGACTTGATCCCCAGTCGGGGGCACGCAGGAGACAGCCGATCAATGGCTCTCATCATTGATGTTTCTATCTCTCCCTCTCCCTCTCCCTTCCTCTCTCTGAAATCAATAAAGATATATTTAAATGAAATAAATAAATAAGTAAAATTCTTCTATTTTGCCCTGGCTGGTAGGGCTCAGTTGGTGGAGCATCATCCCATGCACCGAAAGGTCACAGGTTCCACTCCTGGTCAGGGCACAAACCCAGGTTGCAGGTTCGATCCTGGCTGGGGTGTGTACGGGAGGCAACCAATCGATGTTTTTCTCTCTCTCCCTTCCTCTCTCTCCAAAATCAATAAAAACATTTTTTTTTTAATTTAATAAAAGTAAATAAATTTCTTCTATTTTGATATTATTCAGTGATGAACACATAGGAAAGGAAAAAGCAAAGGAAGCCACCACCAAACAAGTCCCAATGGCAGTCAGCTCTAAAGGCTATGAGCACCAGCAATACTCAAGTTCTCAACCTGAGTGACACACTCATGTTTGTTCCATAATTTCTGGTGAAGTCATACATCCCTTCTGTGCACTTTTCTATATGTGTTCCAGTTCAAAAAAATGTTTTAAGTCTATCTTCCTTTCAGTGATATCCACATACAAAAGGCACACTACAATTTGTATTTTAATAGCACAAAAATATCTGAGCTTTACTGTATTAACTCAAGTGTAAACACTCACACTGTACCCTTCTTTTCACGTTTAAAAACTATGCAAAGAAGCCCAATCTCAGTTTTAAGCATGCTCTAATTTACAAGCAAATAAAACATCTAATACTGAAAAATTACGGGGGGAAATTATTATCATAACAAAACAATTAGGATGTAACTTCAACCTAATGACCTCAACATATCAAATATAAAAAGTATTTAAAAATTAAAATTCAATTACTAATAGAAAAAGCATAATTATCAGATTAGAAAAAAGCAAGTGTCAGTCCTGTGCATTAAAACAGAACGAATCCATTATTTAACAGCATGGAGGGGGGAAAAATCAGTTTCCTTCTCACCTTTAAAGTCAGAGAGCAAACAGCTATTTCAAAAGGTATGCAGTCCAAAGGCAGAAAAGTACCAAGGAAGTCTCAGAACAGGTAAGCTATGCTAAGGAAATCATCACATTAATTGTGAGATTGCTGAGAAGATAAAGGGAGAACCCTGAGGCAGGCTCAGAGGCAGAGAAGAAGGGTGAGAATAAACTCACGACAGCAAGAAGGACAGGACAAGTTGAGCCTAAAGTATCTGAGCACTGGCAAGAGCTAGACTCCCACAACAAGGCAGTATCAGGCGAAGGATATCCATGTCGCCTTCTGCTGCCCAAGACACACCTCGTAAGTGAGTTCCCTGAATAAACTCTTCACATCAAAACAAAAGAACAATGGAGCGTCAGCAGAGTCCCACCCCCAAAGATGTGGACAGCACTCATGTCAGAATTCCAGACAGAAGACATACGGTTTCTTAGCTCTGTTGTGAGGATGTGCTTTGCAGCAATCAGAAGTTCCTTTCTGAGGTGTGCAGTCTCTGCTGGACAATTTGAAAGTAACTGTAACATTCCTTTTACCATTTGCTGAGAGTACTTAGTCACCAACTCCTGTAAAAATAAGAGGAAAACAACACAGTTACAATGATTGGTGGGTATTAAGAAAAACTCGAGATTTATAAACTTTTTAAAAAATTCAATAAGCCCGGCCAGGTGTGGCTCAGCAGTTGAGCATCAACCTACGATCCAGGAGATCGTGGTTCGATTCCCGGTCAGGGCACATGCCCAGGTTGCAGGCTCGATCCCCAGTCGGGGGTGTGCAGGAGGCAGCCGATCAATGACAACTTTCTCATCGTTGATGTTTCTCTCTCTCTCCCTCCCCCTTCCTCTCCCTCTGAAATCAATAGATATATTAAAAAAAAAAAAAAAGACTAAGCTTGGCTCAAAGGACCCCAGAAAGTAACAAGCGTAATAAACAAGTATCATACAAAAAGTTTTAATAGTTTGTGTGAGCACACCACCATACAAGAAGGATGGTTAGCAACATAGCTTCTTCTACGTAATGGGATTATGGATGTCTTCACTGTACTTTCCTATATCTTCTCAACTTTCAACAATGAGTACGTATTACATTAAGGAAAAGGAGAAATACTGAAATTTAAAAAAAAATACTTTTTACTATGTCATCATATTAATGCAAGTTTTGAATGACACCAGAGACACGTTTAAACAACTCAGAATAAGTTCTAATCACAATCTGAGATGTTTTAGTAAAGCAATTCACTATGGTGACTCAAGCTGACTAAAGTATCAAGGGGTACCCAACTAAAATTTTTAAAACCAAACAGTCCATTTTCAGTGCTTGACAGGGCCTGAAAGTAGGAAGGGGAAGTGGACTACAAAAGTACAAAAGAAAATTTTGATGGGTGATGGAAATGTTCTATATTTTGATATGTTGGTAGTTACCAACTATATGCATTTGTCAATTCATAGAACTGTTTACCTATAAAAGGTGAACTTTATCGTATGTAAATTATATCTCAGTAAACCTGACTTAAAACAAAAGTCAATGAACTTACCTGGTAAATTCTGATGATATAAGCTAAAAATGACAATGTTTTAATCTGAGCAGCAATGAAATCAGCATACAACTCCTTATTGTAAAGCTTATGTTGCCTAAATGATAAATGAATAAAATTTACAATATTAGCTCTTCACTCTTTAGGTGACATTAATATTAATTAAAAGCCTATAATAATTACTGAGCCCAAAAGTTTGATTTCTACAGACCAGAAGAACACAGCAGCAAGTTACACTCTACACTTTTATGCAGTTCCAAATAATATAAAGGGTTTAGAGACATAAAGTAAGCAGTTTTTCAAGCCATTCCACAGCAGTTACAATGTGCACCCCATAAAGCCAATCATTCAGCAGACAGAATTAGGGTAACTATTTGCTCAGTGAGAGAGAGCCCATGCTAGGGCCACAAGGGCTATTAGCACTGATTCACCCTCAGGTCCTACCCTCAAATGACTCAGAGCCAAATACGCTACAAGTCAAGAAAATAAATGAGGCCCAGCTGGCTTGGCTCAGCTGTTGAGCATCTTCCTATGACCCAGGAGATCGAGGTTCGATTCCCTGCCAGGGAACATGCCCGGGTTGCGGGCTCGATCCTTAGCAGGGACAGTGCAGGAGGCAGCCGATCAGACTCTCTCATCACTGATGTTTCCCTCTCTCCCCCCCTCTCCCTTCCTCTGTCTGAAGTTAATAAAGACGTATTTTGTAAAAAAAAAAAAAAAAAAAAAAA